CAATAAGCACTTTTGTTTTGAGTCTCTTGAACCACGACTCCCACCAAAACAAACGCTCTTGACAAGGACAGAAAAATCATCTCCTGTGAAGTCTCATTAAAAGTCAGCAGCCGGGACGGTTCTGTGTCGACGGCTGACAGGCGCGAGGCGAGCCGAACTCCTCTTACCTCCACGGCGGCCTTGGCTCGCTCGAACTCCTCCTCCAGGGACTGGTGTCTGGACAGCAGGGCGCTCCCCCACCGCTGCTCCTTGCTCAGCCGGGCCTGCCGCACACATTTCACCGCCGTAAACATTTATGCGCAGAAACACCATCCATTAAACATACACCTTCACAGCAACACGTCACACCACGCGGGGTCGGCCGCCTCTGCCTCCCCAGGGACGAGCGAACATCCCCCGAACGCCTCGGACATGCTCGGGAAGGCCGGCAGAACCGCCAGCAGCACCCTCCCACCCCCACGGCCCAACATGCGACGTATTCTCATTTCCACCCTCCTGCACATGCAATATCCACCTGCACTGATGGATTCTCGCTCTGGAAATCGACCAATTACACGCATGTGGGTTCGCACCACGGCAACTTTACGCGACTCCGTATTACTCCGACGCATTAAACTGCGAGGGGGTAAACGATTCGGAGATATTCTTTCGTTCTCGGACGTGATATGAGCGCTGGATTTATGTGGGACGTCTGCATGTAGCCCGGGGCAGATGCATCACGCCGCCGCACGTGTGTGTGTGTTCAGCTCAGGTCGGCCGTTTACCTGGAACAAGTCTCGTCTCCGCAGACTCATTACACGAGACTAATTTACCCAACGAGGAAATAGCCGGAAGATAAGCACATTTTTATTTACAGAAACAAAACGCATGCAGTGTTAAAGAGGAAAAATCTTGCCACATTTACGAGGATCTGTGGTCGGTTTGTTTAAAAGAAAAATTAGTTTCTTTCTGGTTTTTCGGTTTAATTTCCCCCCAAAGAAATCTGGCAAGATTCAGTATTCTGGCGGGAGAGTCACAGCTTAATAGCAGAAAATGTTTGATCTACCTGCAGGGAAACAGGAGTGGTTAATGTCAACCCGTGGTGCTAGTTCTCAGAAACAAAGAGGGCTTCTTTCCAGACACAGCTTTTGATTTTAATTCCAGGAAAGAATTTAGCATGAAACAGGAAGTGGCAGCAGTTTCTCAGCAGACCAGCCTGATGTTGTTTTGAATTACCGTAATGTCTGGACTATAAGCTCCTACTTTTTTCTCACGCTTTGAACACTGCGGCTTAAACAATGATGCGACTAATTTACCTCGAAAAGAAAGTGACACTAAGAGCGACAACGACAGAGAGACTGAGGAAGTGTACGACGAAGTAATTCTGAGGCTGTTCGACTCCGACACTGAAGACTTTAGTGGTTTTAGTGTGAACCTCTGTGGACTTTAAATATTCAGGATGAAGCTAAAACTTTGCAGGGCTTCACTACATATACTAAAATTATTGTACATTAAAACAATGCTGCAGGAGTTAAAGAATGAGGACGAACTAGCAAACATAACTATTTCAAAGCTGAGCTATGATTGGACACTGTCTGTCAAGGGGCGGGGCTTAGAAATAGATGTGCGTTGTCCTGTAAAAACGTATAAAGTTTGATTTCCTGCAGCTGTATTGACAGATGGAGCTCGCAGAGACCTAGCAAGAAGATCCTGCAACTGTTTTTTCACAAGTTTCTGAACAAATAAAGTTGCTCTTAATGTCAGGAATAAACTCGGCTGCTTCAGTCATGATTGTAATTTCGAGCTCTTGATCTCCAACTGAAGGTGGATTTTCCCTCAAAGCCTAAATTCTCCAGCTCGTGTTAGCTCAGTGTGTGTAAATCTCCTCTTTGCATGCACGTTGTGTGTGTGTTTGCATTTTGGTGTGTGTGTGGTCGCTGCCAAGCAGGAAACCAGAACCGCCCCGTACAGTATTCCTGTCAGCGAGCTGCGATGTAAACTCCTGAGCGAGACAAATTCTGTGTGTTTGTTTGCCAATAACTTCCCTCCGTCTCAGACAGCTATCTTTAATCCCCAAATCTATTATTAATCGGCGCGCTGAAAAGGTGCTGTATGCTCAGCTAGCTCGGCGAGATCGACGCTAAATGGGCTCGGAGTGAAGCTGCTGAATAATTCATAGGCTATTAATCTAATAATGGCGTCTGGAAACAAGACCCCTTATGCAGACCTACACAGAGACATCGACTGAGGAGGAAAGCGCTTGACATTTGGACCTCGTAGCACCACACAGGAAACAAACTCAAGGCCGACAGAATTTCCTCAAAAGGCGCCTTTTTGGCTTCAGGTCTCATTTTTTGTTTGGTCTTTACGGTCAATTTGAGCGTGATGCTGTTGTCGCCGGTGCAAATGTGAAAGTCTTTCGGTGTTTGCATGAAAGGATGCGTAGGGAGGCTTACATGTCTTCCACTAATATACTGCCTGTTGAGCTGAAATGGAAGAATTGTAGGCGTTAGGACACAGTGATGCACACAAACAAGGGCGTCTTATTAGAAACACACTTCAGTATTAACCAACATTAGCATGCTACGTTAGCGTCATCGTTTCTTGAGATTAGCCGTCAGTCAGAACAGAAGGTGTTCTCGCTTCAGAAGGACGTAACGATGATTAGGGTTAGGGTTCGTCATGCCCAGCACTTACTTGCGATGCGAGGGCGGACTCCGGCTCCACTTTGGTGTTCGCCTCCAACGTGTTCTTATTGGTCGAGTCTAATTGCGTTTTGCAGTCGATGGACCTGAAGGAGGGAAAAGCGGTGCAACTCTTTAGGAGCTCTCGGGATGCGTTCCATACCACCTTTAACACCTTTTGTCCATCTGCAAATCCAGTTTCAAGAGCACTCTGGGGACATTTTCTGATCTAAAATCCAGCCGTTCGTTAAATCCAAAACAACTGCACGGCCAGAAAACAACACCGGGATTCTGCAAATTTAGCATTTTTCCATGCACGGATCTACATTTAGGTAAATATTAGAGCTAGAGCTCAGATTACAGAGCAAATACAGCTTGTTTATACCTGCAGTAATGTGTTTTTGCTGTCTGTTTGGGGGATAACAACAAGCTGACGGATGTAAATCCAATAATCACATCGCTCTTCAACACCTCTTGATGGAAATACGCCTCTTTTTGTTTGTGCTGCAGGTAGTGAACAGAACTATTTTTAGCTTCTTAGACGCCTGCTGTGGTTAAAAGTGACTCTGATGAGAGTGAAAACAGCAAAGTTGTGAAGCTAAAACCAAGAACTGAGAAGCTTCTTAGAGGTGTGAGGAGTTGATTCTGAGGGAAACATCTTGGTGATGGTTTATAAAAGCTAACTCTGATTACAGGTGTGTTGCAGGACACAAACTCCTCCATGAATAATAAATGACAACAACAGAATAGTTCAGTCCAACACGCTGTAATCTCAAGACGAAGGCTCAGAACCTACCACAGAAACTCATTGGAGGAGTTTTTAGACGAGCGCCGTCTCTCCATCTTCCACTTCCTGTTGCCGTTTCTCTCCGGGTTGGGATTCAGTTCCTCCCATTTGTCCAAAGAACTGATGGTGACTGGAGACAGCAATGAAACAATAGAGAATAAAATCATCAAAATGTTCCTTTCATTGTCTGGAACTGATCAACCACCATCACACATGAGCCTGGAAAGTTTACCCAGGATGCATTTTTTAAAGTTTTCTCTGGTGATTGATCAGAAACCAGAAACACATCCAGGGTACCGATGATTGTTTCTATGACTCATAGACATTAAACTGCTGCAGTCTGACTGTTCACACGATGAGACATCCCATAATACTGATGCTCAGAGTTGGTGATAGAAAAATTAGATCAGATAGAACTTTATTGATCCCCTTTGGTGGTTTACCTCTGGGAACTTGTAGAAGATAAAACATAATAAAATCGTCAAAAACAGAATTTGTCTTTAGATTGTGAACCTGGACGGACATAAAAATAACTCTGAAGACAGATTCAGTCTTTAGATCGTGACACCTGGAGTGGATGTTATAATAAGACCAACTCTTCTCTCGATTTTGTGATGATGCTGCATATTTTATCTATCTACTATCAATTTTAGTCTTTTTTTGTCTGTTTTTGTGTTAATTTTGTGTCCTTTTGTGGTAATTTTGTCTTATTTTGTGGTTATTTTGCATTTTTTGTGGTGTTTTCAGATGTTTTTTTGAGTCCTTGGGGTAATTTTGCCTCTTTTTGTGGTGATTTGAGTCTTTTTTGACCATTTAGTGGTGATGTTGCATCTCTGTTGCAGTGATTTTTAAGCTTTTTTCATCTGTTTTGTGGTTATTTTGCAAATTTTGTGGAAATGTTGTGTGTTGTTGTGGTCATTTCAAATGTTTTTTGTGGCAATTTTGAGTCTTTGGGGTAACTTTGCCTATTTGTTGTGGGGATTTTGTGTATTTTTGTGGTAAAAATTACTGAAAATTTCTAAAGACAGCTGTTGTCTTTAGATTGTGACATCTGGAGTGGATGTAATATTAAGCCCACCTCTGGTGGTAATTTAGACCATTTTGTTGTGATGCTGCATCTTTTTAGCAGCCATGTTAATCATTTTTGTCTATTTTTGTGTTAATTTTGTGTCTTTTTGTGGAAATTTTGTGTCTTTTTGTGGTGTTTTCAGATGTTTTTTTGAGTCTTTGGGGTAATTTTGCCTATTTGTTGTGGTGATTTTAGTCTTTTTGTGGTAATAAATTACTGAAAACTTGTAAAGACAGATTCAGTCTTTAGATTATGATGCCTGGAGTGGATGTAAAACTGGTTGCAGCTTCTAACAGAACTCAAATGTGTTTTTAAACCCTGATAACGTCATGCATCTATCTGAGGCACTGGTTAAATTATGAGGCTCAGAAATGATGGAAAAAATAATTAAAAAGTGCGATGATGCACTCGAAGAGAACGAAAACATTCATAGTTTGAAGGTAAAACTTTGCATGACTTCATTAAATAAACTGAAGTTACTGTAGATGAACAATCAGCGGATTCTGAGGAGGTCAGACGGGAACGTTTTTACAGATTTCGTTGACATTTGGATGAAAAACTATTTGCAAATTAAATCAAATTTCTTGCACAGAAAATTTTTTTCATCAAATGAATCCTATTTAAATCCACCTGCGACACATCAGACAAAGTGTTCATTTGCATAAACGACATTGTGAAACAAAAGAAAAATTAACAAGCAGTGACACTGATTTACAAAAGAAACCGCTTATTTTTTTGTTCCATTAGTCGAATCACAAAGCTCTTAACGCTGTTTTCTCAGTCGCGAATGGAATCTTTCTAAAAACAGACAGACAATTAATGCCGCAGACGTCTGAAACATCTGGCTGCAGCTCCGACAGGACCAGAAGTTTTGCCGGTAAATGACGCCGGAGTTCTAATCAGCCTCGGCGTCATGAATTATTCACCGCGCTGCAGCTCCACTCACTCCGCGCTGAAGACTTTAACCTTTTCAGCCGGCAAATACTAAAGTAATTGCCCGTTTCCTCTTAATGTCTTTAAAGATGATCCCCTTCATTACAGTAAATTGGCTTGATCCTTCTGCGGCCCGCACTGAGCATGTGCGAGGTCAGTTCCACGGGGGATTATGGGAGTTCTGGTGGCTGAGTTATGGCTTGATGCGAGGACGTGGCATTTCAGAGGTCACGTCGTAGGCGCACATAATAGTGTGTTTGAACCGCAGAGCAGATCGGATCAATAATAAAGGACACGGAGGTCATGTTAATGTATCTATCGCCCTCGTAAACAGCTTCCTTCTGCTGTAAAGTCGATTATAAATATTCTATGTGCCAGAAATATTACGTAAAAAACTGTAAAATAGACCAGTAAATATCTGTAGAATAGTCATGTTTTAGCCCATTTAAATACCGTAAAAATGTTTAATTTTCTAGTTGCTCAATGTAAAAATACACATTTTTAAGGTGGACATTTGAAGTGCTTCTTTTCTTTTTTGTCTTTTTGTTTTTTTCCCAGTCAACATGTAAATATCGTCATTTAAAAATCAGCCAAAACTAAACCATTTGCACCAACCAGGTTCTGTAAAAAACAAAAAATTCTGCAAATCCCAGTGCATCTGTGAAGACATCAGTGACTCAGCTGAGACCAACAGTCATGTGACAAAAATTTAGGAACTTTTTGCTGATTGCAAACTGAATCTACACACGCGTATAGAAACAACCACACGTTATACTTATGTGAGCCTAAAATGGTGATATTTCATTACGTTTCCTTTATTCTAAATGCTTCATTTAAAAATCTGCTGAAACTGAACCGTTTACACTGACCAGATTCTGTAAAAAACAAAAAATTCTGCAAATCCCGGTGCATCTGTGAAGACATCAGTGACTCAGCTGAGACCAGCAGTCATGTGACAAAAATTCAGAGATTGGACAAGGGACTGGCTGGGTCACCATGGTAACAGATGCTGCACAACTACTAGAGTCCGTTATCATCTCTTATTGGGGGTTTTAGGTTGTGTCGAGCCAGATAAGACACAGAAAGCCTGGATTAGTTAATCTTGCTTCATAGCAAACCCTCCTGTTGCTGCATTAGCTGCCTCAACTCCACATGTCGTCTTTGTTTTCCTGCATCTACAGTTTGTGGCTCTAGCAGCAGACCGAGCAGCATCCTGACCCTACCTGAGTCCAGCGACGCCCTCTCCGGGGTTCTCATGCTCGGTCCGGTCTGCTCCACCTCCACCTGGATCAGCTCCGTCTCATCCGTCTTCTTCCGGTGAGAGTTGTTCTTCTGGAGGGACGACAGCGGACTCTTCCTGCCCTTGCTGTTCCTCCTCTCCACGGGTTCGCTGAGATCGAGCAGGTCCAGAGTTGAAGACAGAACTGTGAGGAGACGACAGCGGGTTCAGCATCCGAACCGGTTTACAGCAAACATGTACGATGCTCATCTGAGAGACTCAACAGGGAGGTGGAGCAGTTTGGATTTCTGTAAATAGCTTCAGTCTGTTCTGTTCATTTGCTTCTTCTGAGGTCAAATTAAAGTTTTGAGGACAAGAGGTTAAATAAAAGTACATGAATTTAAAACAGAAGCTAAACCGTCCACCCGGTTCTTTGGTGTCGGTGTCGTGTCTGCCGAGTCGCTCCGTGACTCTCCCTCCCTGAGTGAAGTCTGAGATCTCATGAAGCTCGAGTCATATTTTCGTAACCCTAACCGGCTCTTTGTAGTGAAACACGACGACAGGTTTCACTTATTGTGCCGCGCCGAGCTTCCATTTTGATCTACACGTCTCCTGACGCGGCGAGTCGAGCTGTCAGGGGCGCTCAGGCTGCACGGTTCCCCCTCAGGGCCTCATCGGAGGAACTCGCTGCTGCTCTCTTCAGCGGATCTAAATATATTTCGTGCAGCTGAGCGGCTCGACGAGGACGAAGCGTCTCCGGTTTGGTCAGTTGAGTGATTCGATCTCAGGTTGGTGGAGCGGCAAAGGAGAGTCAAAGGGATGAACTTTGTTTATGCTTTTATGTCATGTAGTGGTTATTAACTTTATATGTTTATAGTTAGATTTCCATCCATCCACCCATCCATCATGTCTACACCTTAATCCTCACTAGGGTCATGGGGGGCTGGAGTCTATCCCAGCTGACTCAGGGTGAAGGCACCTGGACAGGTAACCAGTCTATCACAGGGCTACACTTAGAGACAGACAACCAAGCACACTCACATTCACACCTACGGACAATTTACAATCACCAATTAACCTCAACATGTTTTTTGGAGGAAGCCAGAGAACCCGGAGAGAACCCACGCTGCACGGGGAGAATATGGAGACTCCACGCTGTCCTCACCGGAACAGGAACCGTCGACCTTCTAGCTGCGAGGCGACGATGCTAACCACCGAAAGTCAAGTCAGCATTTTGCCTGAAAATTTCCTGAAGGTTTATTTGCATCCTAAGTTATTTTCAATATCTGTATATATATTTATGCACCATTTTGGACCGACTGCAGCCGGCGAGGAGACGTCTGATCGAGGCCGATGTACAAAGAATTACAACAGTCCGGCCTGGTCGTGATCAGAGCGGGAAGAACTGTTTCAAAGTCGTCACGAGGGAGATAAGGGTTGACTTTTGCGAGCAGTCGTAACTGGAAGAAGGTATTTTTTTTATGACAGTGCGAATCTTACGGTGGCCCAGAAGTGTCACAACAAAACAAAAGCCACAACACAACACAATTAGCCGCAACACTACAAAATTAACAGCAACACAATACAACGGCTGCAACGGAAATAGTTTTTTTTGTTTTTTTTACCTGGAAGTTATACTGTGAAGTGCGCAACGCCACACGCAGTGGGCAGAAGCCGGAGATTGTTGGAAACAACTCGAGAAGTAAGTAAAGTACTGATAGTAAATAATGTTTAATAATTTCTGTATGCGCTATTACAGCTGTTGTTAACTTTGAATTATAAATAAAGAGTCATTGCATGTTCGACTTATTAATGTGGACGCCACAGGTACAGCCCGTTTTTGATTAATGGACACTTTTTGCCATCAGTATTTTACTTACTTTCGAGTTGTTTCCAACAATCTCCGGCTTCTGCCCACTTCGTGTGGCGCTGCGCACTTCACAGTATAACTTCCAGGTGTTGTGTTGCTAATTTTGTAGCGTTGTGGCTTATTGTGTGGTGTTGTGGCTTTTGTTTTGTTGTGACACTTCTGGGCCACCGTATAATCTGTTTGTTGAATGTAAAGCAGCTGTCAAAGAACACACCCAGGCTGAACTAAGTGCCCACACATTTGTAGAATAATAAAACTGACTAATACATAACTGAATAAAACGTCTGCCAACAGGGTTAAATGCACAAAACCTCCTATCTTGTTGTTGTTGTCACTGTATTTCTTCTTAACTTCTCGCTCCACGTTGATCCCATCACATCCATCCCGTCCTAAACTCACATAACTCTGGAATAAAGTTGCTTTCTGCACTGACAAGCGATAATCTGGGATTTCTATAAACACCCAGCTGTTGCCAAAAAACTCCACAGCCGCAGCGTTTCTACTCGCCGGTTACTTTGAGGCAACTACAAAGTTTTTCCGGCTCGTCTCCGAGGACCCTGACGGAGTGTTTTGTGCGACGCGAGCTCCAAACTACAGGCACACGACTGCGTAATTGGCGCGCTGCTGTTTCATGACAACCGAGCGAGAGCGTTTGTTGACTGAGATCTCTGCGTAATTAGAGAGCACGCTTGTCTTCCATGCCTCGTGCTCTTTAGATGACAAGTACAATTAGAAATCAAGGGAGACGCGCTGGCGAGGACGCTCGCCTGGAGAGCTTCCAGCATTAAAACGCTGAAACACAAGCTGTTTATGCGGAGACGCTGGTGTCAGAAATGTTTTGTCACCCGGAGTCTGTTTGAAATGATGAGACGGGGAGAAGATGTACGACGAGGAAGTTTTCTTCATGGGCCAGATGTTTCTGCTGGAGGCCAAAGTTTTAAAATACACTAGTGAGCAAAAACACTTTGAGTTCTCACAGATTAAACCGATGATATTGATCATCTGTGGCGGTGATGCATGTCAGGGTCAAACCAAGACTCCTGGGGTGAGGTTTGACCTGAACTCTTCTTCTATGTAAAAATGGTGAAAATAATGGAAAATATCTGGAACGTATTCATAGTTTTATCTGATTAAAATACAGTAAAATAGTTTAATATTATCTCCACACTTTGTGAACAATACAGATTATTGATGTGGACACATTTTACAGGTTTTTCTTTGTTTGTTTGCTTCTTTTTTATTCTTATAGTAAACCAGTGATTTAAAACTTTATTTTCTGTGATTTTACTGGATATTATCTGTGATCTAACAAAACAGAGAAAATCTGAAAAATATCACTTTATATATATAAAATTTTCTCTCAAAAACAAAAGCAAATATCTGCAAATTGATAATATTTTAGCTGCTTTAAATAAAGTTAAAAAGTACAATGTTTTGGTCACACATACTAAAAGAACGATTCTTAAAAAAACATTTTTAATGAAAAAAATAAATAAATAAAAATAAAAGAACAATTTATAATTAAAAAAAAAAATTATTATTTAGACATTCAGTTTTAGCCTCTTTTGTTTTATGCAGTCAACATGTAAACTAACGGTTTTTGTTTTTTTAAAAAATTAATTCGGTAATTTAACAAAAGATGGACAACATTTAAAACAACAATGATCTTTCACATGATTATATCTTTTCTTTGAAATACAGTAAAAACTAAAAGTGTGTAACTTTACTGTGAGGAGCTCCCAGGTGACAACGTTGGTCTTTATTGTGACGACTGAACCGGAGCAGAGTGCTGACAAAAAAAACTGAAGGTTCTGAGAGCATCTTGATGAGAAGCTCCTCCTGAATACATTCATCTGTAAACATCTGGTGACAGATGTGAAGGACACGAGCCTGCTGAGGAACATTTCTCCTCCATCAGCTGAAAAGTGCGCTAAACAGAGATCGCTGCGTTAGCATCCGTGAGCTCGTACTCATTGTTGGTTATCGACTTGCTCTGCTTGCTAAGTTTCGTTCGGCTCTGGAAGCTTCCGTTCGGTGGGAGAAGTGATTGACGCACAATCAGAGCTGGATTCCACTTCACCTGCATGAGTCAGCCTGCAGGAGAACCTCAGAGCTGCAGGAGGAGACCAGAGGGAACATCTGGAGAGCAGGAACGCTGCAGGAACGCTGCAGGAACCCAACGCTTCAACACAATCTGCATCTCCTCCACAACAGCTTGACACTGAGGATTTGATTGGCGCAAACATTTACCCAAAACTTCTTTACACTTGTTCTGAGCGTGACACAAGAAACTAGTTTGACTTTTTTTTTGCTTTGACTACAAATATCCCAAATCTTTTAGAATATCTGCACATCAACTGAATTCCAGCCTGAATTTTTGCACTTTTGGGAACTTTTAGATTCTTGTATCCGCAGGAGGAGACCAGAGGGAACATCTGGAGACCATGAACACTACAGTTAAATGTGCATCTCATCAATAAAAGCTTGAAACCAAACTTTTTATGAATACAAACATTTCTCTAAAATACTTCTGAGTTACTTTTCTCCCAAATCTTTTGCACATAACGTGAATTTCAGCCTTAATTTTTCTGCTTTTGGGAACTTTCTAGATTCTTGTATCACCAGGAGGAGACCAGAGGAAACATCTGGAGACCATGAAGACTGCAGTTAAATGTGCATCTCATCCATAACAGCGGCACAAGAAACTAGAGTTTTCTTGCTTTTTATTTCCAATAATCCAAAATCTTTTTTAATATCTGCACATTAACTGAATTCCAGCCTGGATTTTTCTACTTTTGGGAACTTCTAGATTCTTGTATCAGCAGGAGGAGACCAGAGGGAACATCTGGAGAGCATGAAAACTGAAGTTTTATGTGAATCTCCACAATAAAAAGCTTGAAAGTAAACTTTTTTATGGGTACAAACATTTCTCTAAAACTTTTGAGTATAACACAAGAAACTAGAGCTACTTTTGCACAAAACTTGAATTTCAGCCGTAATTTTTCTGCTTTTGGGAACTTCTAGATTCTTGTATCTGCAGGAGGAGCTCAGGTGAAACATCTGGAGAGCATGAAAACTGAAGTTTCATGTGAATCTCCACAATAAAAAGCTTGAAAGTAAACTTTTTTATGGGTACAAACATTTCTCTAAAACTTCTGAGTATAACACAAGAAACTAGAGTTACTTTTCTCCCAAACCTTTTGCACAAAACTTGAATTTCTGCCTTAATTTTTCTACTTTTGGGAACTTCTAGATTCTTGTATCACCAGGAGGAGACCAGAGGAAACATCTGGAGAGCATGAAGACTGTAGGTAAATGTGCATCTCATCCATAAAAGCGACACAAGAAACTGGAGTTTTCTTGTTTTTGATTTCAAATATCCCAAATCTTTTATAATATCTGCACATAAACTGAATTCCAGCCTGGATTTTTCTACTTTTGTTAGCTTCTACATTCTTGTGTCAGCAGGAGGAGACCAGAGGGAACATCTGCAGAGCATGAAAGCTGTAGGACACCAGTGCTTCAACACAATCTCGTCCATAACAGCTTGATACTGAGGATTTATTGGTACAAACATTCATCTAAAACTTCATTACACTCATTCCGAGTACGACACAATCAGCTACATTCAGCCTTTTCTTACTTCTTTCCCACATCTTTTACAATATTTGCACATAACCTGAATTCCAGTCCTGATTTTTCTACTTTTGGGAACTTTTCTCGTCTCGGGCCTCCGACAGCAGGAGCAGAAGGAGGCTTTGGGGAGACAGAAGGTTTGAGAGTTTACCACAACGTTCCTCCTCCTCCTCCTCCGTACTCTGCTCGGCTGAATCAACGCAGTCAGCGGCCAGTTTGGAGATAACACATGTCAGCTGTGCAGTCTGCTTCTGCAGATTATCGTCGGGAAGACGCCACAGCTCATTGACTGAGATCCCACCCATGTGGAAACCGAGATGGCATTTGTTTAAGTCGGGACGCTCCATTTCTCAGCAGCCTCTTTGACCCAGATGGTTTTTTGTAGCTCCGTTACTTGCAGGAATACAAGCATTTGAACTGCTTAACACACATGTTTGCTGAGACAACTGACAGAACTCAACACTGATGGAGTGGAAATCTTTATAGAAAAAACACATTTTCATTTAATGATATTCTGGAAATTCAGGTGGATTTTGTGCTAACTTTGGGGAAAAAAATGCCTCAATATCTTTTAAAAAATACGTCACTATCATTGTTCAGCCCAACGTAACATGACAGAAAATGTTTGTTTCTTCTTTAAATCTTCCGTTAGGCAGCAAACATGAAAACCACCAGCGTCAGTCACAAGCTGACAAACAGAAAGAAGAAGGAACTTCCATTAAAAGATGTATCGTCTGTTGATAATCACATTTAAACACATAAATGGCAGCACACCTTGTGTTGAATCATGTAGTCCAATAACACTGATTTTTCTTGTGCAGCACTCTGCGATTGCAAATCTTGTTTCCTGCTGTTTTTTTTGTATTTTTTTGCATCTAAACCTCTGTTGAAAACATCAGTTACTACACTTGTCCATAAACTTTAGTTTACGTGGTAGAATTCAGGCGTGAAAATGGCCACTAAAGTGACAAAGGGACAACAGACACAAACTGAATGAAATGGGGCCGAGGATTGAGCCCTGTGGGACGCCACGTCACACAAACGCAGCTAAAGAACAAGAGTTGCTAACAGTGACTGTGAATATTTAGTCTGACAAGTAAGTTCAGGGCATTTCCAGAGTCTGTCGTGGTGATCGACCAAAGCAGAGTAAGAATAGTGAAATTAACCAACGTCTTCAACAATCAACAATCTTTGTCTTATGTTATTCATTAAGGCGCCATTTGCTGCTGATTGTAATATTTCAATTTTGACATCCAGCCTTAATGGTTAATGTGCATCTTAAACTAATTAAAAAACACCTGAAGTTCAGTCGTGCGAACAGTTTTACAGAATCAGTGCGTTACCGGCTGTGTTGGAAGTCACTGGGCGGGAAACCCCATCACACTTGGTCTCGCAGAGGAAGTCGTCGATGGAGGGGCTCAGAAGAGGGCGGCTCTCTTGTTGCTCGCTCACCAGCTGCAAGAACAAACAGACGAGACGGCTCAGGCTCCGACAAACTCCAAACCAAATCCTCCGCTCATATCCCCCGCTTTGTTAACGTGAAGTGAAGCTCGGCCCTCTCGGTCAGGACTCACACGACAGCGTGGGCCGTAAACTGACAAATCCTCGCATCACACGAGTGTGTCGTCCTCTGCAAAGTTGTGTTAAAGGAGGAAACACACTCGTGCTCCTCTGTAGTGTGTGATTTACTTACAGCAGGGAGACTTTTACACTGCTCGCCGCTCATTTTATTGACATATTTTGATATGCAAACTGACAATCTACACTCACTAAATATATTTTTTTATATAACTAATTTTAAAAGCAGAGTTTATAAAGTGATTTATAGTTGAAAGAAGGAAACTCAGGATGAACATTCAACAACAGACGGCTGGTCGGTCTAAATGTGGTGAAAGATTCTCAAAATAAATGAGTACAACAACACCAGATAGAATAATAAAATACCACATCCAAGTAAAGGAAAGAACAAGAGGGATAAAAGAAAACAGAGGGTAAAATCATAAACATGAGATGAGAAATTAATAATAGTAAATAAGTAAAATAAATGAAAAGAGAAAATAAAAATTTTTAAAAAGAGAATAGAAACGAACAATTTAATACATTTAAGAAACCAAGTAGATGATAAAAATAGACTAGAAAAATAATAAGAAAAAAAGACTATTATTACAAATTAATTAAAAAAAATCTTAAAATAAATTAGTACAACAAAACATGCAAAAATAAAACACCACATCAAAGTAAGGGAAAGAAAAAGCAGAATAAAAGAAAAATAGAGAATTAAACCATAAACACAAAATGAGAAATGATAAGAGTAAATTCGTAAAATAAATACTGGGTAAAAGAGAATAAAATGAACAATGAAATAAATAAGGTTTAAAAAAAAAAAAAGACAATAAAAATAATTCTAAAAAATAAGAACAGAAATAGACTCTTATTATAAATTGTTAAAAAGATTCTTAAAATAAATCAGTACAACAACACAGGGTAAAATAAGAAAATCTCACATTCAGGTAAGAGAGAGAAGAAGTGTAATAAAATAAAAATTAAAAAAAACACAAACACAAACACAAGGCTGAAAATGATAATAATAGTAGCAATAGTAAAAAGTAAAAGAAATACATAAATAAGTAAATAAAAGGTAAAAGAACAGAAAATTAACATGAACTAAATTAAGCAGAAAATAATAAAAATAGACAATTCACATAAATAAGTACAACCCCTGATAAAATAATAAAACAACACATCCAAGTAAGGGGGAAAAAAATAAAGTAAAACAGAGGCTTAAACCACAAACACAAGGCTAAAAATGATAATAACAGAATTAATAGTAAAAAAGTAAAATTCATAAATAAATGGCAAAAGAAAAGACAGTGACCGATGAAATAACGTATAAAAAACAGAAATAAAAATAGAAACAGACAATGATTATCGTATATATTTCGTGGTTTCCTGATGCTTCTGTTAATGTGGGTTCAGTTAAACACAGCAGCTGTTTGATGGTAAACATCACGTCATGAAGCTCACATGCACACACACAGAACACAGCATTTACGTCACACACTGAACACAGCACAAATAAAGCTCATTAATAACATGTCTTAATAAAACCCCGTCACCACAGTCGGTGTGATCTCAGCGCTGATGATCGCTGGGATCCAGACGAGCCGGACCGACAGCGGATGTGTCCCAAACAATAATTACGTCGCCATTACTGCCCGTCTCACCTTCCAAACCATCAAAATGCTAATGTCACTTTGCCTGTGATGCACCAATTTGCCGGCGTGCCAGTGCAGCTGCACAGCGGGTCACGTCCAGGTCGCCGCTCTGAGGCCTCCAGGTGCAGGAGGCTGCAGCCCGCCAGCCTGGGCCTCACGGTTCTGGAGGTGAAAACCGGTTCTGTGCCACGTGAAAGGGTAAAGCAGCACCGCTGTTTGTGGTTTGTGTGCAACGCCGGCAGCGAGGAAACATGACATTTGCTATTGTTGCTCCGCAGGACGCGTTCGCAGGCAGCATCCTAATGAAGGTGCTAAAAGTTTAATTACCAGGCATGAAATGGACCGAACGCAAGCTGCACCACGGAAAAGTGCTGAACTGGGTTTTCATCTCATGTCCAGGCCGCACCCTCACGAACACACAGTGAATCTGATCTGCTGTGTTTTCTGTGGACATTTAGTTCTTTACTGACGCTTCATAAATATACATACAGCACACATACATGTTTTATAGGCTCCAACAAATATGTATTTTTCATTCCCAGACACAGTATTATGCCTCACGAGCAGGAATTATTTATAAGCTGGGCTGTAAAATATAAATATGTTGCTGTAGCTGCGGCATTGTAAAGTCCAATTATCACATAACAGAAGACGTCACGCTGAAACTTTGTTAAGATGAGACGAACTTTTGTTAACCCACGGTGGAGAACGTTGTCATGTTCCAGCAGCAAAGAGGAAAGAAAATAGAAATAAAGAAAAAATATACATAAAAACTGATTCTTCCACGTGTGGAAATTCTAATGTTGCACTGATTTTTTTTACTGTTTGATAAAAAAACAACAATAAAACTTAACCTCATTCGCCGCTGATTTACAATTTGGGAGTTCTTGGGAAGTTTTTTCACTTTATTTATCAGATATGAGGTTTGTTGACATGCATGTGCACAGAAACATGAGCGAGAAGCAAAAAAAAGGAAGATTTGGTTGCAAAAAGATTAAATTTAAGTAAAAAATTCCTGCTTCTTTTCAGTATACAGTCGTGACTCGATAATCCCTTAACAATCCTAAACCTTGCTATCCGACAGAACCCATTAAAAACAGCTTCAACACACCGACAGTCTTGGATTCCGACTCCAACATGACATTTAATGTCACCAATCAGGATAACGGCGTATTATCTGACTTAATCCGACAGATTGGCTACGTTCCACTGCAGGACTTGATGCTCTTTTAGATCTACATAGAACTTTACTGGTCCCTTTGGTGGGGTAACTCAGGGAAACTGTTGTTCTAGAAACAGCACAACAGAGACAGAAGCACACATCTATTAGGAAAAAAGCAGTAACCAAGGAAACAAGCTGTTCGATAGGACAGCAGCCTGGTGGAATAATAGTGATAAAAAAGTCTGATTTTTTGTGAAATTCGATTATTTTTTGTGAGTTCCTTCACATTTCCAGTTAAATGCGACTTGTATGTGATCTGCTGTGTGAACTTCATACGACCCAGAAGTGTCCCGCATGAGCAGAAGAGGACACGACGACGTCACACGCAGTGAGCATGCTCAGTGAAGTGAACATGGATGGTGGAAACAGAACCATGACCGCTAACTAAACTAGCATCAGCAGCCAAGTACTGCCTGTGTGTTCGTCCGTCGGAGCGCTCCCCCGGGGTGGAAGTGTCCCCCGACCGGGACGAATATTCTGATATTCATCATGAACTGGGCCTGAATATCCAGAGACCAGAAAGTGCTATTGGGACCAGCCCTTATAACAACTATGAACAATAAATATTAACAACAAATGATCCTTCCAGCATCAAGCCCTCCTCGTATCTCGACCTCTGTCTTGACAATCCGACAGCTTTGCTATCTGACATAACAGAAGGTTTTACATTTAGTGTCGGATTATCGAGTCACGACTGTATGCTGCATTGCTGTTGGATCTCTTTGGACCAAACAGATATAAAATAAAAACAGCTGATCTGTGAGCGGTGATGCAACCAGTTACTGACATTAAACATGAAATTCTACTTTATTTACGACTCTGAGACCTCAAACAGAAGATGCTGCTTTTAGTTTTTGTCATGTCGTCACTTCACTTCCTGCTTCTCCAGAGCCTCAAACAGATCCTTAAGGTTGACTTCACAGACCAAAAATGGACGATCAACAGTCGACGGGATCTTTTTAAAATACGTAAAGCGACCTGAAACCTGACTGGAGCTACTCAAGACAGGAAAAGCTCCCAAACGTACGTCTGTTTGAGGTGGAACATCTGATTATTTAGGATTAATTTCACTGAATTTAGTAAATATGGCTGAGAAACATCATTGACTTCATGAGACCAGCTGATGCGTTCTGACTCTTACTGCAGATTGTTTCGGAGCCGTCCGTCAGTAATGCTGCATTTTGAGATCCTACCAGTCGTGGTTTCGTGTTTCATCTCCGCTCATGTTAATGCACGACTCCACAAGATAAGTGGAAGAAAACACTCATGCATATTTCACAGACAGAAATGTGTTTTCGCTTAATAAGTAATGACGTCCGACAAAGAGATGAGCGAAACCGAGACGTTTAGGATTAATCCCGACTGCACCGGACGAAGAAACTCAACGGAGACCCTCAGAAAGCAGCATTAATATCCAGAGCGGGTCGCCGCTCTGCTGGGTTTGGTGCTGCGCTGCAGAACGCTGACCCGGCTCAGGTAATTAGGTGAGTGTGAGGATTTGTCAGAACAAAGATCTGGTTCACGTGGAGTGACCCGGTTTCACCCTCTGCTGCTGCCGTCAGACATCCAGAAGGCCGGGTTTGTTTCTAAAGGTCGGATTTGTTGAGTGATTTACGGACTGTGATGGAGTCTGAGCGAAGGCCGAAGACGTTTTGTTTCAAAGCAGCGATGTGACAGGAAGTGAACGCTTCATTTCACCGCAGCTCCAGAACCTGAATCGTAGCCGCTCGGCCTCCAGCGCAGGAAGTGACTCATCTCAACCGGCTTCTGTTGCTTTTGATTAGATCGGTTTCACTGAAGCTACGGAGATGCCACCTGATCAAAAAGCCTCCTGAAGCATCAGA